CGCAGGCGCGGGCGTCAGAGGAAGCGGTGGGAAGACGATATCACGCAGTTTTTGACAGCGAAGATGCTTCTCGAACCTGGCAGCAGAAGATGGTATACAGTAGCACAAGACAGCGACCAGTGGAACAATTTGGAGCAAGCATTCCTACGACACACACAGCATTGACCACAACTCCCACATCTGTGACTGAGGGCCCCGGCCCGCCCGCGCCGGCCTTCCAGGCCCCGCCCCCCGGCGGATTCAGGCGCGCCTCGCCTCGCCTCGCCTCCCCCGTTCTTGTTTCATCGCGCTTCCTCTTTACTCGGTGCTCCGTCATCTCGCATCTCTGCTTTCGCCCATGTCCTCCTCCTGCCGCGCCCTAGCGGGCTCGCGGCCGCGTGTGATGACTGAGCCTACGCATGTACTTGTCGCGTTTTACTCCCTCATTTCCCGCGCCGTTTCTCCTCCTTCTCCTCCTCCTCCTCCTACTCCTCCTCCTCCTGCTCCTCAACCTCCTCCTCCTCCTGATGCTCCTCCTCTCTCCCCTCGTTCCTCCTCTAAGTAAGCTTGTCGGCCAGCCCACGAGCGTTCTGCAGCTGTTGTCTCGCCGTCAACCTCCTTGTCCTCCTCCTCTTCCTCCTTGTCCTCCTCCTCCTCTTACTCCTCCTCCTGCAAAGCTGGGCGGGGCACTGTCGAACGTGTCCAAACGCTTCTTCATCTCCTCGCTGAGAGCAATTCGCGCTCGCGATACCGGCCGCCATCGGCGGGAAGAGGAGGTGGATGATGTGGAGAACAAGCACAAGCATGGCTGTTCTAAACATGGGACCCCTTTGCCAACAACGCACCTAAATCCTTTTCAAATGTTGACCCGCGTCGGGCGCAAACACGCTCAAAGAAAAGATCAGGGTGCCCTTCAGAGGCATGCTGTCGGTTAAGCCGCCCTGTTCACCGGACGCCCACAAAACAATAAGCATCCTACAAACGGAACGTGCCGCCTAGGATGCTCCACGGCGCTCCTCCTATCCCCTACAGAGGCGACGCGGACGAGGAAGAACAACACAGTCGACCTCTTGCCCCAAGAGAATTCAGGTAGGGAGAGAAGCCGCGCTTCGGTCTCAGCCACACCCAGGTGCGCGGAGAGGCCCGAAAAAGAATACCAATGGGTGGGCTGGCAAAACGCGAAGCCTTTTCCCACGTCGAAGCGGACCGTACCCCAAGGCTTTTACTGCGCCTGCTCCCTGAGGCGCGCCGAGTGCGTGACCGAACGTCCGCCAGCACTCCGCGGAACCTCGATGTGCCCTGGGGCCCGAGCTTCGGCGCGGCGCCGAGCAGCCTGTCGCAGCCCACCCTCCCGAAACCTCTGGCCGAGAGGGGCTGCAGCACATGCAGAAACGGCTTGCAGGTCGGTGTGTTCGCATCGTTCCTGTACGCTAGGGTGGTACATCGGCCTCCAGGAGCCGCCCCCCCCCAGTATTGCAGGACACTGTTGTTTTCGCTCGCGTGGTTCGTGGGCGTCCGCGGGCTCGTGCGTGGTCGTGCGCGGTGCATTTCGGCCTGGTCGTGCGCAAGTTCCTGGAATTCCTGCGGAGTGAGGGCCCCTCTGTATCAAGTGTGGGTTATGAGGTTTATGGTGCGCGCCAGGAATATCGAGAAGGAGGGTCGAATATCCCCCGCGCGCGCATTTGGTAGGTTTTGGTATCCCGGAGCCGCTCCCGTTGCCACGAACGGGTTCCCACTGGCCATTTTGGTCAGAACGCGGCCCAGGACCAGGACAGGTCTAGGGATCGAACTGTCACATTGGCCCGGGCCTCTGGAGAAAACGCAAAGGATGGAAACAAGAGAAATATCTGGGAGGGTACGATGACAACAACATGCATAAACATCAACTGTCGGAGGTCCTCACGGATCTCCGGGAGGGGCGGCGCCGGAGGCGCCGCCAGCGGGATCAAGCGCAGATCCCAGAAGCCCGCGCGGACATGCGAAAGCGCATGCTGATGCAGAACATTGGGCTCCGTCCTCTTTGGTGGGCCTGATCTCCACCACCACCACCACCAGAAGTTGGAAGGGGAAGGGGTCCTCCTCCTCCTCCTCCTCGTCCTCGTCCTCCTCCTCGTCTTCGCCCTCCTCCTCCTCCTCCTCCTCCTTCCGCCCTCCAACTTATGGTGGCGGTGGTGGAAGACAGGCCCACCACTCTCCCACGGCGCGGAGCGCCGGAGGCCTCGCGGAATGAGGGGGGGTGCGAGCGAGACGCTGTGCTCCGATGGTGCGGGCCACGAGGCCCCACCCCAACGCGCAGCAAGTCCGGGGCCGCGCCAACGGCGACGTCGGTCACCGGCGACGTTGGGAATCCGACCTTTTTGTGACGCCGAGCTCGCGCAGAACGAATTCTAGGACATCACGGGCCACACCCTTCTGCACTTCCAGCATGCGAACGTATCGAACGAAAACGGCACGGCGAGTGGTGGGAACACGCGAGCCACGCGTTCCTGCCATTGGTTTGGCCACGTACCACGCTTTCCTGCAAGTGGCTTTCCCACGTCGCCGTTCGCAGAAACACCGTGAGCGCGTCTGCGGTGAGTGGGAGGAGGGCCTGGCCTCGAACAGTGGAGTGCGAGGTGCCCTTGCCAGGAGGCGCGCCGCCGCTGCCCCGCGCCGCCCGCGGGCCTCGGCGCGGCTGGCTGCGACGCGGCGGTCCAGCTGCTCTGCCGAGAGGGCGGGTGGACAAGGCGGGGGGAGAGGGGGGGACCCCAAAAAACTCGAGGCATCAGCATCCTCGCCCAGGCCAGGGCATGCACTCCAGGGGGCAGGTGCCCCCAGAAGCAGGAATCGGATCACGCTCGCGCGGCTCTGGAGCCGAATCACACCCACGCGGCTCATGGTCATCCTGGTTGTCCTGGTCCTGTCTGAATCTGTGCCTCTCTGGGTCTGCTTGGCGCGGCCTATCAGCCTTGCGTGCAAAGTCGGGGGCTGGTGAAAAATCTGGGTCAACGCCTGCCACGTAGGACATCCACACAGTATCCACCAGGGCGAGATCGTCCCATGAGCAAATCTCTGTAGATTCGGCAAGGATCTCTGAAATAGAGGCTGCGCTGGATGCGGCAAGGCGCGCGCGCATCTGGGCAGTGTAATTCTGTTTGGCGCCCGTCCAAAGAAACATGCGTCCTTGAGTATTCTCTTTGCCTCTGAATACCTTGTGTGAGTCCTTGGGGTTATGGCAGTTCCCGTTGTTCGGCGCGTCGGTGAGCCTCTGTTCGGGATAGCTCAAACGCAAGCCCAGCAATCTGGTCGGTGCTCGTCCAAACTCGACCGGATCACTGGTGTCTGGTTGGTGGACACACTGGTCAACGACTGCAGTCACGGCGACGTGCGAGGATGCCAGGGCTTCGGGGGGCCCCCGCTGGAAACTGCGAGGGGACTGGGGACGCCAGCGCGCAAGCAACGGGGGCGCTCGTTCCCTCCCGCGGCCCCCGCGACAGGATGGCAGCCCAAGATGCACCAGGCTGCGCAGCAGAGTACGCCCCACCTCCTGTTACCACGCCTGTCGCTGAATCGCCCGCGGGACACCCCAGGACCATTCGCGCGCGCAAGAGGGGGTGGGAGGGCGGGGGGGCATCTTGCCATCTGGCCGCGCTCCAAGATTCAACGACCCCCACCCCCCCCCCCCCCCCCCGTGTTCCATGACCTCCGTGCCAGACATGCTCGCCCATCTGCGCATCGTGGGTGAACGCGTGAAATCCCCGATACCTGGATCGATGGCTATGCCAACGCTGCGCAAGGTGGCGTGATAGCTGGGATTGTGATGCTCGCTGTCTATCCAAGACTGGGCGCCGCTTTCTCGTCGCCGCCCTGCACGAGAAAAAAGGCAGAGCGCAAACATCTCGTAGCGATGGATTCAGCATGGCACCTGCGAGGCTGCATTTTTTGTGACACCCTGCGCACGGCATCGATAGTGACGACCTGCGAACTGCGGGGCCTCTTGCTACGCGGGCTCAGGGGGGACGTCGAAGAGCGCCCTGTGGGCTGGCGAAGACTCTGGGTCAATCTCGCGCGCATTCTCCAGCAGCAACTCGCGAGCCTGATGACCCGTGAAGAGGGCGGCTACTAGCATCGCTCATGGGTAAAGGACCTCTGCTGGGCATTCTAATCCAGCTGGACGTGCTGCTCTCCACCTTCCAAGTCCTGCCTTGTACTGCGCCTCTTGGTGCGCTGCATCCTCTGACCTGGATGCGTCATGCTGACCTGGCTGCGGCGGTTGCGTGGGACATGCTGCCTCGTGCTCCGTGGTGGCTGCCTAGCACGCGGGCACCACCTGCACCTTACTTCCGCCGCCTCAGGTTGAGGCGGGTCGAGTGGGTGGCTGGCGTCGGCGGTTGGCACGGGCACGCCCGCTGCTCGTGCCAACTCGAGAACGGCATGCTGCGACTGTTGTGCAACGAGCCGCCCGCCCGCCCGCCCCGCCTTGGCGTGAGCTGCCGGGGCGGAGTCCGGCGCACTCTTCCACGCTGCGTGAGTCTGCCATTGGCCTCCCAACTCTAGAAATGCATGTCCCGGAACATGTGCTGCACCTGCCAGACTTTTTTGTTTTGATCCGCGGGTCGAGAGCGAGTCTCTTCCGATAGAAGCCAAGCGGGCCACGCACAGCTTTCATTAGCAGAGGGGGGGCAAAAGAAGGCGGGGCCTCACGTCAAGGCCAAGAGAGGCACCTGCCAAACAGACAGGGACAGAGTCCCGCGCTGAGGGCACCCGTATGGGTGCAGCGGGTGGGCGCCGAAGCGCCAGGGCAGCCGCTCGGAGGTTGAAGTCGTGGTTCGGGGAGCCCAGTGCTGCGCCTGTCGCCACCACGCAATGTCGTTCAGCGCCCCGTGCATCCACGAGGTATTCCGCGCGCCGCCCGTGCGAAATACACGCGCGCCACCGAGCTGCGCAACGTGGGCGCGCCGCGGTGCCGAGGCCGCTCAGGAAGCCGAGTAGCCCGCACGTGCGCAGTGCCGTTCGCAGGTGGTGCCTGCCAACCGTCGCCAGGACGAGCCCGTCGGGTTCTGCTTCGCGGTTGCTCTGCTTACGGTGGGTGATTGCCGATACAGTGCGGGCGCGGTCGCAAGAAACCCTCGCAAGAAGTCCAACCCTGAAAACCCGCAAGCGAGGTACACCTGAGGGGATCCCCAGAGAAACCTGAACGCAGCAGCTTCTTTGACGGCGCGGGAAGTCACCGCGCAGCGCGCGGAGCGAAGAATCCTAGGGTACCCTGACGAACAGCAAATGGTTTCTTGACGCGCGCCCCCACTGTACGCGTTGACCTTGGCGCTTTGCACCCGTAAGTTCCAGCCGCGTGCCTGAGTTGCAAAATAGCCCTGAGAGAAGCGATGTTAAGTCGGGCATGTCCTCCGACATGCGGATTTGGGAAGAAGAATAAAAATATACCCCAGACCCGACTTCATTGTAAAATGGCCCTGGGAAAAGTGACGCGTCGGCGAAATGCAGTGACGCTGCGCGCGCCGCGCCCGCGCCGACTGCGGCCTGGTGGATCCGATCTCGTTTAGCGGCGCGCACAAGGGGGTGGGGGGAGGGGGGTGGGCTTCTTAGGAGGAGGCTGCTTCTTAGAAGGCGCCTCTTAGACGGCGCCGGCCTTACATCTATAGATAAGGCCCGCGCCTTCTAAGAAGCAGGGGTGCTTCTAAGAAGCCCTCCCCCCTCCACCTCACCCCCCTCTGCGCGTGGAGC